ACGCTAGTCGGAATTCATAGGATGGGCTAGTCCAATGCTAGACCCAATAGGTTTTTTCCTTTTTTTCATTTAAGTGCATGATCACCACATATCATGCATTTTTCATTAGTTTTATCATTTGGTATGTTCCTCAAACCCCTTCCCCTTCACTTTAGGACTTGCATCTCATGCTAGTTAGGGTTCATCTGCGTGAAAATCCCCTCTTGATAAGGGAAACGAGCGAGTGTGGCTACTCGATAGCCTTAGCACGCTAGTTTTACCTTCTAATCCGAGGGAAAATCAAAGTCGAAAATTAGGCGTCACCCCCGTACCTGACTTGTTGCATTCCCCTAGGGTCATACTTTCATTTTTATCACTTCCATACTCTTTTAATCACATTTCTCTTACACTTCTCAATCCATATTTTTCACTACATCTTTATCATTTATTTACTTTACTTCACAAATGAAATTCAAGTTCCACTTATATATGTACTATTCTATCTTCATTCATTTGCACACACAAACACTTTGATTTTCATCCAAATTCACACATGCACCTTTTTATACATTCGCACACTTGCACTTACATTTCTTGCATCTTTCATACACTTTCACACTTGCACACTTGAATTTGAACTCTCATTTGCATTAATCGACCTCTATGAGCTTTCCCTTTATTGGCCGCCACAATTCATGTGGTTTGGGACCAAAAACCTCACGAGAGATTAGGATTGCATTTTTTTCGTTTTCGCATTCATATAGGCATAATCCAACATGCAATACATACCCTGGGTAGAAAGTCAGGAAAGTTAGGGTTAAGTTACGCAACTAGCCTTGGCTAGGTCAAAGGGGTGCTTTGGAGTCTATCCTTGCCTTCCCCTTTGTCAAACGTGACTCCCGAACCTTTTTCTTTGTTTTACGTAGACTAGGAGTCGTTTTAAAAAGGGTTTATTATTACTTAATTCATTTTTAGGTGACTTGGTACACCTTAAATCATTACCAAGTGGCGACTCCAAATTTTTCATTTCAAAACCCTTTTTAAAACTATTTTTTGGGTCAAATCGTCGCTTTCCAAAGTCCCATTGAGACCCATGTCTTTTCAACTCACAAAAATCATTTTCCAATCAAAATTGAAACAATACATCTTTCTCAAACAATTTATTTTTCTTATAAAAATGGGGCGCGACAGTAAAGATAGAGATAAAAGTAAAAATATTTCAAAAGTTAAACAAACACCAGAAAAATGAAGTAAGAAAATATTTTCAATAAGCTAACCAAACACCTGAAAATGATGAAAATGAAATGATTTTCATGAAAAATTACTTCCACGGAAAATATTTTTCCAAGAAAAACATTTTACTTCCAACCAAACAGACCCTAAACCAAAATAATATGCCTTCACGAAAAAGATATTGCATGGATTGGTAAAATGATAAATCAAGATACAGAATTACATACCTCATTGAGAAAATTTGTAGTAAAACTCTCTTTGAAAGAAGCCTTTATCCTATTTGATAAATATACCCAATTAAAATTATGAAAACTTACTTCTTTTATTAATGAACTATATCTTTGCATTCTGAATTACTTAAAAATCTACAATTACAATAAACATTAACCGAACTACTAAATAGAACACTTGGTTTGAAACATTTACAGGAATGGAGCTTGAATCAAGGAAGAATAGGAAAAATCTAAGGGTTGAGAAGGGCAAGAAGTCACTTTTGGGCAAGAAATTAAGGTCAAGATCATATATTCAGAAAAAGAAAACCAAAAGTTATCAGATGAATCAAGGAGAGATTTGAATAAAATATATTTTAGAAATTTGAAAACCGAAAACCTGAAGTCATATCTTGAATAAACCATATTTCACCCCAAAACCTGCAATCAAATGCTTAGTATGGCTAATAAAGAAGAAACTAGTGCATCAAAGTAACAAGTCATAAAATCATCTATGGCAATTGGGAAGAAGTAGCATCAAATATTCAGTCACTTTCTTAAAAACAGAAACTTATGGTAAGTAAAGTAACTACGTCCAATGAAAAATTAATAAGTCAGCTGATCTTCAATTTTCAAACCAAAATAAGGATACAATAGTCATTTCGATGATATACGTTGTCGTCTTGTCCAATTCAAATTCTTTTTTTCCATTTCACAATAATCCGCATGTACTTTAATTATGCATTTATCTTCTAGTACAAACTAAGTCTAATTTTTATTGCTACCTAAATATGGTTTAATCACTTACACATGACCTTTTCACAATTATTATATCATATTATATTTCGATATCAGCATAAAGGACAGCCTGTACTAAGCTTGTACTAAGTCTAATTTTTTTTTCCCCTCAAGCAGGCTTTGGAGGGTCTCTACTTCTTGTGACTTGAATGTTTCCTTAATTTAGAGAGTGAAGGCGTGGGATTTTCGAGTTTATGGAACCACGTATATGAGCAGAATCTTTAGAAGACGTGCTTACATTTGACCAGTAGTTCTCAGACGTGGTGTCCATGCCAGCTTAACAATCTACGCCTTTGTATTGTGCCACCCTTGATCAGAAGGGCAAATTGAATGGTCAATGAATTTGGTTCCATGTTAACACATCATCGTAAATTTATTACTTCAAAATTCAAAAAGAAAACGAAGACATCTGTCTACGGGTGAAGTTAAAGTAATTTTATGCTAGATACTCTTTTGGTACGTAGCATTTTGTTGGTAGATGCTTAGTGCTTTTTTTTTTTTTTTATGTAAGTAGAAGATTTTAAATTCGTAATCTCTAACTTTGCACTCCCTACCCTATCGTTCAATCCATCCATGAAGATCCTCAGTGCTTTTGATCATGTAGCATTAATTTACAGATAGTGCCTACTCTATGAATTGAAGTTGGCAATTGTACCTACTTATTAGTGAATTGGATCTATACATTAATCCCTTATGGTTTGCAGACACAAATTTTGTTTCTCATTATTTTGACTAGTTTAGGCTTGATTGTGCATGTTGGGCCCTTACATTACAACGAAACGCCTCAACAACTACAAGCATTGCCATGAATGAATTAGAGGCCTCTACAACACTATAATATTAAGTCAGTTTTTTGGTTAAACTCTTCTTTAAATTTCAACCGCTAAGGAAAGGGATGGGGGAGGAAATGTAACTGAGAGATTTCGAGTTCGATACCTCTCACTTACACTAGGAAAAAAAAAATTATACGGCCTCCTTATGGGTAAGATAATCTTTATAGATTAGGGTAAGATACATTTTGTAACATTGAGTATGGGTGCAATTACTCTTTTACTCTCATTTAGTGTGAATTGGTCTCAAGTTATTGTGTTAAATTACTATTATGCCATCATAGCCGAAAATCTTCATATTTAGTTTCTGAAGGCCTTTGATTTTTGTGTAATTTAGCATGCGTTGATAAATTTGTCGTAAAGTTTATAATAAAGGCCCGTTAAGAATTTTCTTCCGATTTCAGCAGTAATATGATTGGTTTCATTTCTCGTCTCCTAATTATATATACAATATCGGTTAAATTAACTACTTCTTGCTCCTTTATTGTCACATGCGATTTGGTTATGTCCCAGCAATTATTGTCTCATCCCCTGAAGCAGCTGAGAAGTTCTTCAAGACTAATGATCAACCTTTCGCGAATAGCCCCATAGTGAAAGTTCTTGGTACATTGATCATGAGCAAAGGAGATGGACTTTTGGCCAATATGGTCTGCATTGGAGAAACATTAGTAAGCTTGGCATTTTACACTCACTCAGCCGCAAAAAGATCGATCCAATTCTGTCGAGGACAAGAGAAGAGGTTGGAGTATTGGTGAAATCGCTCAAACAGGCTTCTTTTGATGGTGCTGCTGTTCATCTTAGTGCTGCAACTTCATCCTTAGGTGCGATGGCAGTACCTAAGGATGAAATCAGACAGGGGACTTATAACTCCTCGATTTGAAACTCTTGCTAAGGTGTTGTTTGATAATTTTTTTGAGAAAATCATTGGTGAGCATCTTCAATCCCGGAGAACAAGCAAACCAAGGACTTTGTAGACATCATGATGGGAATCATTCAATCAGGTGAATCTGAATTCGAGTTCGATGGTCATCATGTCAAAGCTGTTTTGTTAACACTTTTGATAGCTTCCAAGATTTTTTTTATTTTGCACTTTATTTCTTTTATGTTCTTACCAAAGTTTTGAAACACATCCTGCTCATTGAACTGGAAAATATTATTGGATCAAAAGTCACTGGTTCAACCGCTGGTCTAATCATTATTGCCTCGTGATACTATAATTACGTCGTAAATAATTAATTATTACTTTAATTATAATATAGTCCAATAAAATGACCTCTATATACTTTCTTGGTTAATGTATTGAATTAGAAATCAAATTCCTTCTAACCATAAAAATAAAGAAATCATCCCTCATTGATCAAATTTAAAAATGATTTTGTAGATAAGAAACATGAAATTATATGACAATTGAAACTTCTAAATGATTTAGAGTTAAAACATAGTTTCAGAAACAAAAAAATGGCAAAAAATGCACGGTTGTACATCTTGCATTAAATATGCTGACAACTAGACTAATATCACTTGATTACATGTAAGAACCAGACATAAATGTTCAACGTCAAGAACCGAACTACTTTAATAAGAGCCATTTGTTGTTCAATGGATACTGGACGAGTTAACTGCTTCACAATATTTAAAAGCAGTTTTTTAAACCCTTTCAGGTTTGAACGTCAACCCAACTCGGATAGCAACCAGGACAATGGTTCAACCAGTTGGACTGGACAGTTTGATTGGGGTTTTAAAACCTTGGTTCTCACCGTTATTAGATGATGTCATTGTTTCTATTTTTGATAGAGTGATTTCATTTTTCGTTGCTGTATTAAACTTTAACAAGTTATGCATTTCAATAATTGGATTGTCTGTGACAAGTGAAGCAAATTTGACTCCTCTCCTGATTTGGAGTTTCATGATTAAGGCAAGTTTTGCTGATGATTACTAAACAACCATTACACTATGGTTTTAAAACAGCAATGGCCTTAAGAGGCACTGCCTTGTTTATTGTAGCTTCAAAGTTTTCGGTCATGTCAAGTTCTTCTGGTTTGATCCCTTCTTCAAGCTTCCATTCAAATTTATGAAGCAAAGCAGCCACCATGAGGTGCACCATTCGATCAGCCAGCGGTAGTCCTGGACAAATTCTTCTTCCCGAGCCAAAAGGAAGGAGCTCAAAATGCTGGCCTTTCACATCAATTTCTGTATCCATGAAACGTTCAGGCACGAATGAAGTAGGATCTGACCACAAGCTTGGATCCCTGCCAATACCCCACACGTTAACCAGTATATCAGCACTTTTTGGCACCATATATCCATTGATTTCTGTGTCACTTTCAGCTTGGCGAACTAGGAATGGGGCAGGAGGGTGAAGACGAAAGGTTTCTTTAATAACCGATCGCAAGTAAGGAAGATTTGAGATATCTGATTCTTGAACCATCTCGTTTTGTGGAATGATTTCCATGATCTCATCCCTAGCTTTTGATTTTTTTTCAGGGTTGCGTATTAACTCTGCCATTGCCCATTCCACGGTGACTGAACTTGTTTCTGTCCCTCCAACTAATAAATCCTAAAATAGAGTGGAGTCGGAATCAAATTATGGTCATCAGGTGATTTTTTTTTCTTTTCATAATGCAGGAGTTATATATTAGGAGTTTAGGACCAGTTATATATATAAAGCATGCATTGAATGTATAGGTGCATTAATATGACTCACCAGAATCAAATGCTTCATGCCCATGTAGCTCAATACAGATTCATTTTGCTGATTAAGATCAAGGAGGGTTTCCAAGAAGTCATTTTTCCTGAGATAAGTGTTGGATGTGTTTCTTTCTTGCGATCTCTGACGAATGATACCATCAATAATATCAAGCAATTTTCCGTAAGATGACTTGGCTGTACGCCTTATGCCCTGTGGATCAATTGCACTGAGGACGGGAAAGTAGTCGCACGAGATTAGGACTAGCAGCTGTTTTTGAGCGCA